AGATTCGGTTTCCTGTGTCGCGTTGGATGGTCGCCACTACAGAAGATCTATACTAGGACGAAATAGGAGCCCGATACTTCCTGGATTTTACTGGTTCTCTGACTTAGATCTGTTTCAATAAAATTCAACAATCTCCACGACTACATATTAACAATGATATCTCAGTTTGTATTTCCTTTAATTCAGTGAATTATTATTGAGACAATTACGGTTTCCTAGCACTGATATTACCTCTAACTTTGTCGTTAAATTGTTGAAAACAATTGCGTCATCATTGTTTGAGAAATTTCTGAAATATGTGATTCCGCGATCAATTCAACGATGTTACTCTTGCTGTATAGCAACTACTTTTCTTCCACAAAATTGGTTGAAATAAAGGTATCTGATGTTCCAAATAAAAAATCAGGAGGCCAGTCATGGTCCGAGTAGATAATGGAATTACCTCAAACTGCAAGACCAGGTGACGCATGTTCGATTCCAAAATGAAGCAACAATTCCCTAAAGATTAGAGATATATATAGTTGATGAGGTCAAACTAGCACATAATCCAAATCCAGCATGATTGCACATCGACTTTACTCGATCTCCTGATAAATAACAATTCATATTAGTTCTTAGATTTTGTTTCAAGGTCATTCAAATTCAGAATCACTAATCCAAAGTTACAGTTTTGTTTCAATCTCATATTGAGAAGCGATCTCAATAACTATAAAACCAAATCCTTTTTTTTATCAAACAAATTCCTTGAATTCCACAAACCCCCCTACCACATACACTTCAAATTTATCAGTTCTAAAATTAACTCATGCTAAAAATAACAAATCAGTAAGGATATTTCCAATGTTTAATATGATTAATTAATTTTCACTATTAATTATATTTTATTATAACTGATTTTAGTTACTATACATCAACTGATATTTAATTTCAATGGTTGAGATCATGAGTCAGTTGAAGCTAGACCACCATGGAAAACCTGGAAGCACTGGACGGCCGTTCCGTTCTATTGTGAAACTCCTCAGCATTTTATTATGAATCATTAACTGGATGATTACAAGTTTACATTGAAAATTACCATCATTCTTTTCATAAACAGTTCTTTTATATTAATTAGTTACTGTATATAATTACCAATGATTACAATAGGATGTAATTGGTTAATAAACAAACAATCATCTTAAATTAATTAAATCACTTTTTATTTAGATCAATTTAATTTTAGTGATCATATCTTGTTGAGTATCAATGTTAAAATGATCTCAATCAAAAACTTAATCATCTCCACAACCCCTATACTAGTAATTACCATGTGTTCACTAGCAACTAGCTTCGTGAGGGAATTCTCGGAGTTCTAGTGAGAAGCCGTGACCAGTGGAGCTAATCCATGTCGGGTAGAGACAGGTATCTACCTCAGTACAATGGAAGATGGTAGCGCGATTTCGTGGATTGGTTGATATTAGATACTATCACCATTGGATGCTGGCTTAGTGGTCTAGTAGGTTAAGCATTCGCTCGCGAGACCGAAGGCCCTGGGTTCGAATCCCGCGAGCGGAATCGTGGATACGCACTGCTGAGGAGTTCCACAACAGGACGAGACGGCCGTCCAGTGCTTCAAGGTTTCCAAAGGTGATCTAACATTAATCGGTTCATGATCTCAATCAAAAACTTAATAATCTACACAACCCCTATACTAGTAATTAAAATGAATAGTTTGATTTTTTGTTTTGTGATTCATGAATAATCGATATATATATATATATATATATATATATTGAATCAATGCATACATCGACTATGCTTTAAATTAACCGCTGTTTCTACCATGGATACTAGTCTTGTATTAAGACAAATGTTTCTGAAGGTCAACCATGCAATATTGATCAATAAAAGTTTCCGTAAAGAATGCGAATGAATATTGATGTAAATTAATCTTCGTCTTTTTTTTACTTAAAAGAAACATTATCAATTATTACATTTTTTCTCTCTTAATGTATGGTATATTTAATAAGCTAGTCAAATTGAATTCTTCAAGCATTTCCATAGACTTCTTATTTATTAGTTATTAAATGACAATAAATATATTATACAAAATTTTAATGTTAAATGTTTCTCTATACTCTAAGTATATTAATGGGATTCATAAACTGATATTATCGGATCACTTAAATTATTAATGATAAGGTCACTTAATTCATTACTGTGATTATCAGTGGATTTATAGGGCACGTAAATTTCCACTTTTGAAAACATTGAGAAAGAACAGAAAAGATATAGAAGAGCAGTTACAAATAACGTCTTTATTTAGTTTCAAAACATACGTAATTGTAACGGTAAACTACAAAACTAGAACTCATTCTAAATAATAAGTCTGAGCAACTACATTATAAGAATATTTCTGATGCAAAGATGAGTGTCACTTTTCTAGCTAATCGGTTGATAACTGAAGACAGTAAAAAATATGAAAAAAAAATAAATGCTAGTAAGAAGCCGTGACCAGTGGAGTCTAATCTATGTCGAGTAGAGACAGCTATCCATCTCAGATAATAGATGAAGGGTTGTGCAAGATCATGGATCGATTGAAATTAGACATTAACACCGTTGGATGCCAGCTCAGTGGTATAGAGATTAAACTCTCGCATGTGGGGCCGATGATACTAGGTTCAAGTCCCACGTGCGGGATCGTGAATGCGCACTGATGAGGAGTCCTATACTAGAACGAAACGACTGTCCAGTGCTTTTAGGTTTTCAACGGTAGTCTAGCTTAGATCGACTCATGAATTCAACTATTAAGATATTATATCCGTTTAACATCAGACACACTTGATAAACCCCACCATCCACATCTTTTTCTAAACTATTCAATTACACATTGTATATATATATATGTGAATTGTTTTATTGTGGTTTTCAGATTAATGAATTTTAAATCAATAACTTAAAGGTTACACATATTCGACAATGAATCTGAATGTCCGATGTTCAATTATCTATACAATGTAACAGACAAAATAACCTTTCAATCCTCCCTACTAATTTTTTGTTAATTAATCATCACTCTATATGATATAAATCACCCTGAGAAAGTCTATTCAACAATGAAAACAATATAATAGTTGAATACATGAATCCATTGAAGCTACATCACTATGAAAAGTCTGGAAGCACTAGATAGATAGTCGTTTAGAAATGAATAAACTGTACAATAAAATGTACATGAACAAATATTTACTGTGTCGATTATTATTTTGATAGTTTTATTAATTGAAGAAAAGGTATATATATGTCTCATCATTGCTTGTTTAAAGTAATCTATTCAATATTTAACTAATAAGTAATAAATACTCATAATGAAGAATGAGATAGATTGAACAATTAATAAACATATTTCTTTAGTCAGCAGTTAAAATATACCTAATAATTATAATAAATGGGAATAAATATTGTATTTCTGTTTTTGTTAATTAACTAATCAATATATTTTACTGGTGACCGGTTTATGATCCTTCACTAGGGATAAGAGGCATTAGTAAGTAATCAATATTTTAACATTCTTTTAGATTTTGATTTATTATACTAGAATAGATTTTGTTAGAGAATCAATAAGATAGGTAATAAGATAGGTAATAATAAGATAGGTAATTTAATTGATATATAGTTTTAAGTGGAAAACTTGGAAAGATAAGGATTATTGTTACATTTTTGATACTGTTTTCACTGAATTTTCAGTTTCTTTCTAGACAATATTATCATTGATCGAAATCATGAGTCAATCGAAGCTAGGCCACCATGGAAAACCTGGGAGCACTGGACGGCCGTTTCGTCCCATTATGGGACTCCTTAACAGCGCGCATCCAGGATCCCGACCCCCCGCGAGATTTGAACCCAGGACCTATCAGTCTCGCGCCAGGCGCTTAACCAACTAGACCACTGAGCCGGCATCCGACGGTGCTAATGTCTAACTACAACCAATCCACGAAGCTGCGCCACCATACACCATTGTCTTCAGTGAGTTGATATCTCACAACAGACTTGGTTGAACTCCATTGGTAACGGCTTCTCACTAGAACTCCAGGCCGTCCAGTGCTTCCAGGTTTTCCATGGTGGTCTAGCTTCAATTGACTGATGATTTCAATCAGTGAAATTTCTAAAATCTCCACAAAACCCCTTCTGATAATATTATCATTATCAAAAGAAATGTTAGATAGAAGTGAACTATTCAAAATTATCCATGAATAATTAACAGCTTGTGTTATGATCTACCTTAAATTTGGATGAATTTTGTCAAAACAACCTACTCAATTAATAATGAGCAATTTTATGATTCATTCAACAGATTTTCATTGAAATTTCTGCTACTATATATAACTCTATGTTAAAGTTGATAAGTTTGATAAATTCCAATGATTAAAACACAAATTAGAATCTTGCCTCATTTATTTCAGTATAAGAAGCTAGAAGACGAGTACCCAACCTTGTACCCAAGTTAGTGAGTTACAAGATATTGAAATAAAACTATATTTTCTATAAGGAAATCTTAACTGATGTTATTTACAAAACAATGCGTATTTAACGTTTGAAAAATTGTCTTCATCACTATCAGAATCTATGGTGAACAATGTTGATAACTAGATAGTATTAAACAATTATTTAGTCATTGTTTAGTAATTCACTGTAGTATATACTCATTACTCCATACAATGTAGAATTACTTATTCAAAGTCATTTACTTTCAAATCAGTGGCTTAATGATAACTAAAGGTTTTCAAATCCAATGCCTCATGAGATAATGGGTGGATACTATGAAGGTGTCCCTTACTAGGATGAAATAGATACCTTATCCAGGGTTAATTACATTCCAGTAGATTTGTAATTGACGTTAATATATTATAATAGTATACTTTAGAATAAGCGGATTGCTTCACAATGTTACCCTCTTTGATAGATCGATTTAACAGTCCAACTTAAACATATAAATAATGTTGAAAACTGTTTACACTTACCGAATTAATTATTTCCATTATTATTGGAATATCGTCATCGTGTTGACATTGAATAACAACACGTCTCATTTCAATAGAAATAGTTCAGGCTAAAACCTTGATTTATTTTCTTCACTTATGTGCGAATAAAATTATCAAATCAATGATTAACCAATAAGGATTAAGATTAACATGACATGTGATTGGTTCATTTGATGGTGCTTGATATTCAAACCTTTACGTAGGAGACAGTTCCAGAAATCAGTTTGTTTTGTGAATTACATTTAAATCAATAGGCCGATTGAAGAATACACGTCTAAATTTATAAATACAAGGCCACAGTTTTTTTGAAGATGAGTTTATCAAAGCATGTAGATTTAGTTGAATTACATTTACACATTCGTTAATGATAATTAGTAACCCAGTATTTCAACATTCTCATATTTTCTAACTGATTGTATGAACAAGAAACAGCTTAGTTTTGTGTATTGAAAGGGAACTAGTGATATTGCACATAGTGACAACTTTTTTTTCAAAAAACACTATTTATTGCGTCATATAAGAAATTAAACAAAAAAGACAGCAAAATGAAATCACAGTAACACATTATGAGGGATACGCAGAGAAAACATATTTTAGAAATGAGAAGTTAGTGATTGGAGGTAGTTGACAGAAAACTCTGAACCTAGGTCTCGTTTTATTTGGTACTCGTTAGCAAGGTGTGTTATATCCTAGTCAAGATTACATTACGAGTAACGTCTGAGACTTATTAATGGAACAATATTATTTATACATTCTTATGGTATAAATATTCAGTAACTAGATTACGTATATCTATATTCCCCTTGTTATAAGCTTTATTTTGACCTATATATTATTACTGTACGATTTACTGTTCTTAAGCCATGTTCAGTTTATTGATTATTGTCTCCCATGTTCACAGTCACTTTTTGGCTTTATTGTGTACAAGGTGTACCTCTAATGTTGATGGGACTGACGCTACCCGATGAACTCAATCATATGTTACCTAGTTTTGTAATTAGAAATGTGACCACAAGGACTGAGTCGTATTTAAAATTGGTCGATCACTCAGAAGTAAATAATATCATATCTGTCATGTCCTTCTTAGTGCTGGTGGGATTCTATCGATCAAGTTGCACCAGTTTTTAAAAAAATGACAGGTACACCTTGCTGATGAGTACTGAATAACACGACACCTAGGTCCAGATTTCCTTATCGACTACATTCAATCACCATCTTACATCTCAGCATAGTCCACACGATATCGAGTCACTTTGATTACTGCCTGTATTGAAGCTAGGTCGATAAAATTCATTTAACACTAAGAGGGAATCTACACACATGACATTGGTTGTTATTCAGTCATCAATAAATTGTAAGTAAGAAAAATATTGATAAGCTATCGTCATTTAGTGATGAGAACCAGTTAATACGAAACTCGTTTTTAGGAATTCCCGCTTATCACCTTTAGCCTCCTAAAATCAAAACATATAAAACCAACTAGACCAATAACCACATCATTATTTGATCGACAAAATTAAACATATATTAAAACAACTAAACAAATATGACATGGGATATTATTCAGTGATCAATGTGTTTAAATGAATATCCGAACATTCATTCACATATACTGCTGCAATCCCTCAGAGACAACGATTATCAAACATGGAGAGCCGTTTAACACCCTCAACTCGGAGAGGCCAGGTTTCACAAGCATAGAGCAAACCTGCTCTCACAAACGCTTTGTAGATCCAACCTTCTGCACTCGGACTGACATCACGAAGGCACCAAAGGTGGTCCAGATTTGCATAAGCCGCTCCGGCTCTCACCATACGTCCATTGATCTCATTATCCACGCCACAACCAGCACCTGTGCAGCTACCTAGATACACGAACTTCCAAACTACTTCTATCTGCTCACTACCCGGGGTGAGCGCAGGATCAGGGGTCCTGTCAGTCTTGTAAAGGTACTTTGCACTTCGAAGGTGCAAAGCATATGCCATACCTATGAACATTGACCAAGTGCGGAATGTGTGGATCGAGTATTATCGCACAGTAAGACAATATCATCTGCAAGCTCAAAGTCTTTCTCTAAGCAACAGAACCACACCACCACTATCTGCATCCGTCAGAGCTGTTTCCAGAACATCATCGATGACAAAGTTGAGGAATGGAGAGATTGGGCGACCCTGCTTAACTCCATTGCTTGAAAGAAATTATGGAGAGCGGTGATTGTATGGCCTTACTCGGCCCGGGGTGTTCGCATATAGGTCTTTCAAGATGCTAGTTATCTTGTCAACCACACTCTTCTTCAATGGACAATCCCAACGAACAGTCCTATCTAACGAACAGAAAGCGGCCCTAATGCCAAACATCATGGTTATTGACCTGTAATAAGTATGACGATGGAGGAGGGAGAAGATATGATCATTGCATCCTATTAGAACGAAAACTAGTCTCCTCCCCGAGAGTCAGTCTTTGCCGGGTTTTAAGCAATCTACGGAGTATGACGGAAGCCAATATTTTGGACCCGATCGGTAGTAGACTTATCCCCTGATAGTTGTTGCAGAAACAACGTGAACCCTTCTTAAAGATAGGGGCAAATATCGACCCATTCTACAATGCTAAAATACTCTTTAATTACCAGAAGTCTGGAGACGAATCTACCACTTCTTTCACTAGGTCCCCACCACCTTTAAAAAGGACCGGAGGCAAGCCATTTGGGCCTGATGATTTGTGGTGTCTCAAGAGTTGGGGTTCCTTGTGGACTTCCGCCCCGTTATGTGGATCAGTCGTCATCAGCCATGGAGGGCAGGACGGTTCGATCGATGTCACCAGGGTAGCAGACAAGCCGTACTGTTCCTTGTAAAACTCTGGCCAATGAACTAAGCATCTTTAGATGATATTGATTGATATCCCATTAGCTTCACGGATTGTTTCACTTATACCAGACTTTTTGTTGCCAGTGACTCGAATGAGTTGAGCCTATGACAGTTACCAGAATCAGCTGATGCTCCCAACTCCTTAGCGCGTTCTGACTATCAGGCTTCCCGGTCAACTACGCAACGAAATTGAAATTAAAAGTCGGTTATATGCAGAGTTGAACCCGAAACATGCTTCCACTCATTTCCACACCACATTAGTACAGGGGGATAGAAGTATCTAGATAAGTCCCAGAGCAGTAGTAACAACAGTATCAGCAATAATAAGAAACATCGTGTAGAAAGAAAAAAAGTAAGGTTTTGAGACTAAGGGACTAAGAGAAGGCAATGAATTCATGCACTTGTGCAGGATTCTGAACCATGTCACCCAAAGTCTTTAACCACTGGTTACGACAATCACGTGAACCCCAAATAGGTAAACTACAGTTATTAACATGGCTCAAACCAAATGCTAATGACTTCATAGACTGATGTCATATTTTGGGTTGACTGCCTCTAGATTTCTTCCAACCCACTTCTGTACTAGCAAGTATTGGTTGTCAAGGTGGCGGTAGTTGTGGAAACGTAACATACCCCAACCACTTTAGTTTATGAAGATTCACTACCATGCCGACTAATTTTCCATCTTGATTAAAAGTAGGAAGTATGTCAGTTAGCTACAACATAGGACCAGGTACATATATGCATCGGTCCAAGTTGCCACACTTCATTAGCACAAAATGAACACCAAGTTCATAGTAGTTACTTCAATGGTAAGAAAGACTGTGTATAAAGATATAATACAGGAAGAAAGAATTAGTTCGTGGAAATAAAGGTATAAAGCAGTTTTAATCTCACTACAGATCTACTGGTTGTTATGAGAGATGACTGAAACTAGTGATTTGATGATACACACAGTGTGGTTTGTGATCAATGATAGTCTCTCTTTAATTGTCACCTGATAACATAGTTATCATTATCATAATCGAAGTATAACCTGGCAAAAACGTATGAATTGCCCTAACTTACCATACACACTAGCACAATAGATTGAATGTAAAAGGATGAACAGGAAGAGGGGAGGGATAATGTAGTAACAATAATAATCAGAAAGACTGGGGATTGATAACATGGTTTGGGAAGACAAAATGGGAAGGTATATATGAAAGAATATTGGAATTCAGGATCTAGAATAAGACAAAGAATGACTGCAAGTGCTTCACTGAAACCCACTCCAAGCCATGTCACCTAACGCCTCTAATCACCAATTGCGGTTCGTTAGCATCCACTAAACATGGTTCAGATTAATAGTCAATGACTTTAGGGACTGATGCCATATGTACATCTCGCCACCCCTAGCTTTCTTCCAACTTACTCCCATACAAACCTAACAAAGCCCGAAACAACATAATACACATAAAGTGAGACATGATTATTTTTGAAGAGTACCTAGTAACGTTTGAAATATACGGAAAAAATTTCGGGTAAACACACGTTCACAATGATTATCAAAAAAATCTAAATCGAAGTGACTAATTTGCTAACAAAACAGATTCTTTGGAAAAAACGGGAGCTTTCTTTATAATTACAAGTGTGTGTAAAACAACTGCAAAAAATTACTGGTGTTTTCTAAATTGATTTTTCATAAATACTCATGAATGGAGCAATAAATACTTGGAAGAACACGTGTCCGACTTCATCTTGAATGTTAGTGTCTATAGTAGTATTAGTAGAACAGCATTTCTGACTAGGAATATACGGCAGTTCATAAGTAACAGTAACGCCATTGAATTGTACATCATTTTCGTGACTAGATGCACCGTTATCTTTACTTAGCATTGTAGTAGCAGAAGATGGGCCTGTTGAAGAACTACCACTACTGCTACACGTAGTTAAAATACGTAATGATAGTTTCTAGGACAAAAAATAAAACAAATACTTCACGTTATGAAAATAATACACTGTTCAATGTAATAATATACAAATAGTTAAGTAGTTTAGTTCATCTCGTCGTATTAATGTGGTACAACAAGTTGGAACACGGTACATTTGTACCAAGCTCTACGTTGATGACTGACTGAAAATTGAGAACAGTGTAATTCACCACACTTTCATCAGACGATAACTGATCGCTTTATACAGGTGACCGAGTCTTCTCATTCCAGCATGACAGGAAAGACCTACGTTAGTCTTCAGTACAAGTTTCTTTATGATGAAGCGATCTACACGGTGTGAACAAAAGTATTAAGATAAATTTAAGAACTGGCTGGAAAGTCATCCATAACGATAAAATTTCATAAACAGATAACTCTATTTCTATGATTATGTTATGCTCATTAATCATCTGTGGTATTTATATACTGGATATTTCTGTTTTATCGTAATTTATATTTGTATTCAACATATATATTCCATAATGAAATCGAGAAATGATAAATAATTCATTTACACCAGGAATATGTTAGTCATATTCATATCCTACCTAACCTACTTTAATCTGGATGGACAATTATCCATGTTTCAATAACATTTCTAATTCATAGTACACTATATGACCCTGTATGAAAGCTGTATGGATTCTGTCATAATAAGTGTTTATTTCACATCAAGAAATCTTTAACTTACACGACATATTTCGATTTGTAAAGGATTAAGAAATTTATCAGTCCATGTAAGTGAAGTTTCATTTAACTTCTAATGAAAAGAAAGAAATATTTACGTAATCTTTATGTTAACGAATTATAATGGATACTTGATACGGCTAGTGAAAGAAATGATTGGTGTTTGCTGAGAAAAAAAGATAGAACTTTTCGAACTAGAACAGTATAAATAATACACGTTTACCAAATCATTTTGAGAGCTAATTTAAAATCAAATTAATTATCAGACTAGTGTATGATGCACAGAACTCTCAAATGCAATGTTAACGGTTCTGATTATAACTCTTAAGGAACAGGAGTCGGGTTTTTTGAAAGCTTCCGAATATGTAAGTAATGTTTTGAGGACACCAGTAACTTCATTTGCAGTTTTGTTATATATGTGTTCACAAAAATGTATTGAGATAGAGCACAATACACTACAGCATGGGTGCCACGAACAGATTAATTTAGAAAATAACACTAGAGATGGATTTCACTGCTAGCTAAAATCCATTTATTTAAAATAAGCTGTAATACAGTGTCTACATCAAGACGATCCGCGCAGAATGCATATATATATATATATATATATATATTAATAAGGACTGATAAACTGTCACTTCTGAATATCAACAACAAGATAACTCAAACTAATACTAATAATGATACAAATATCGTACAAGTTAGTATCTACTTAGACTCAATAGCTCAGTGGATGATGCATTGGACATTAAAGGTGAATGACACACTACGATGTGATAGGCACATCCATGTGACGAGTACTAGACAGGGCAAAAAGCGGGTCTTGTATTTCTCTGCCAGCCGTATTTTATCTATCCCAAAGGTTTATTATGTACACAAGATTTTTATCTAACAATATAATGAAAGGAAATGATAGTGGCTATGTTATTTAGCACAAATATATAACCAATCGCTTTTGTATTTCTATATGTCACAGTTTTTCTGTTTAAAAATCCCTTGATATCATAAATAAGTAGGAACTATCGTAATTTATTTCTATGTATTAAATACCAATTATATTCAAATACAAATGAGCTTGTGACAGAACCCAAATATAATGCAGTACCACGATATGTTAGAGAACTGTTTGCAAATGGTAAAACCATAAGTCTTACATACTTTAATCCGAGAAACTCTCTTATGAAAGTCCTCTCATATCGTTTAAATTTCAGCACGATGTGTGGGTGATTTTAATTTATTGTAAACACCTAATGGAGATTACTGATAAAAAATAATTGAGTAAGGGCAGAAGAATCCTCTAAATCCACCTATAGATAACATATCAACCTCATGCATTTCATGAGATATGCCCTACATGATGCGAGCGAGTCTTTTTAACATAGTCATACTTAGCACTTGTCTAATGTGACTATCTGATAATCAAATATGTATGTTATTAAAGCTGACCATTAGATGTATTTTATTTATTTATACACATCAATATTGGTACAAGGAGGGCTGGGATACTGCCCGGGTGCCCAAATCGAAGTAGGTGGTTTTCTTAACGGGCCACTCCTCGAGACTTTGACCTAGAGGTCTAGTCCATAAGGCAGTGGGGCAACTTAAGGAGATGCAGTCCCATAATAGCCTGTGACCAACAATAGGTTCATACACCATTTGTTTCCTCAGGACCTTGGAACTCATGTGCACCATTGGTTTGCGATCAGGGTTTTTCAACTCCCCTAGGTGGATCTTCTGTGTCCACTAACCCGCTTAAAGCGCCGGACATTCGCTTTTCGTCCTCTCAATTTAGTAAACAACACCCACGTCGCGAGAAGTGGATAGCACTTCCCTAGTAATGGCTGTATACGCGTGGTCATATGATAGCATTTCGACTCTCCCCACCCTTGGCCGTACCAGGGCATTTGGGGGTGAAAACCTCAGCTGTGTTGCCACCGTAAAGTACATCCTCATAACTAGATAATTACTCTACTACGACACTTATTAATGAATGTTAATCACAGCAGGTGTACTGAAATAAAAATTGGCGTTCATATTTTTGCTTGCAAGGTAGAGGCGCAGTATCTTTGTTTAAAAACATTTTAATGATCACTGTAGACAAACCCTAGTAGGGTATGTTTTTACTTATCAAGCGAAGACTCAACATTTTTTCACAAATCACCAACAAACACTTACTGAATTAGTATTAACAAGTTCAGCATACAATAATGCTACCTTAGAAAACCATGCAGGACAATACATTGTCCTAGTCTCTATCTGAATTTGACCCCAAGCAACTGATAAGTCGATCCATAATTGAGAGTGTTTAAATAGATTTTCATGAATAAATATTGATGAATCGTCAACAAATGATGGGGGAAGTGCCAATAGAAGACGCTGGAGTAAATTAATTCGATCTGTGTGCAAAATAAGAGGGAAAGCCAAACACAAATTAAACAGAATTCATACTCCATACTGACACCTAAACTGTGAATATTTAGTAGTCATCGAAACACAGCTTTAAAGGGGAAATATGTAAAGATAACTATGTCGCATTAAAGAAGCAGAGCAAGTGGACTAATCTCCTAATATTTATTCATTGTTACATTTATGAGAGTTAGGATAATGGTACTTTCTGAACTGGTGAACTGGAGGTTTAATCAGCGAAGCAGTGAAACAACATCAGGAAATGCAATCTTATGGCAGTCAGTGGTCAAAGATATGTTCATACGCTAATCAACCCCTTAGGGTATGGAAGTCCATGTGCACCACTGATTTGGTGTCAGTGGTTTCCAACTCTCTTAGGTGGGTCCTCCATATCTACCGCTAACAACATCAATTCCTGATTTACGTGAGGATTATTTCTGAAAGTATAAATACGAAGAGCGATTATTTGAGTCGACTTACAATCGTATTAGGCGACACACTGTACCTTTATGTCTTACAGAAAGTTTCCTTTGACAGGCTAAATGAGAATTTGTTGTCCGACAGATATCCCACCTTTATTAAAATTTATATCTAGTAGAAAAGAAAGACTACAGACATAAAATAAAGAACAGATGTTGTAAAACTAATTAACCCCGAATTTGTTTGGAAACATAGGCACTGAATAAGATTGAGGTATAGCAACCCTGACCTACAACCTCATAGTACAACCTCCATAAACTAGAAACTATCAAGTTCACAGACTAAGATAGAAACTATTTTAACAAACATGATACCTTGCGTTGTTTCGTTTATTGAACAAGTAAAATGAAGCATCAAGTGTCCAACATAATCCTCATAGCTTACTGATAATTGGCTCTTTCTAATAATATAGATTATTATAGAGAATTACGTGCTGTTGGAGATAAGGAAGCAATTCACATCGTTTGTTCAGTTTCAAACAGCACCTAACAATAGCATCGGCAGTAATTCTTTTAGAAAGCCCATTGTAATTATGAACACGGTCTACGTATTAAAAGTAAAATATAACGAATTAGACAAACCCCACAGTTGAAGCAAATACTGCAGACAATCGTCGTACTTCTTCGATAAATAAAGCCAATCGCTTGAAGACTTTAGACACTCCTCATCGCTGCCTGATAAAAATTCCTGCGAAAAGATGAATTAATTCACAGTATATTGCGATGACCAACTAGATTTCCCACTTCATTTGGATGAAAGACAGATAACAAACCTTCTTTGCACTCATTGGACTCGAATAAGCCATCATCAAATGTCAAAAAATCATCCATCAGATGATGCTAATTTTAATTCAAATTCCTCACAATGGTTTATAAGCCTCATTTGGTCCTTGTCATCGGGTGAACACTCTCAAGGTCAGTCTAGTGTCGCTCAAAGGTCGTCACTACATTATAGTCTTATCAAATTTTTCAAGTGCTACAATACTTGGTTATTTTTTCGCTTGGAAACACACCCGAATACGCCGAGCTGACAGGTCTGATGTTCATTACGGCCTTAAAGCCTTCAATCCCGTGTAACCAAATGAACAAAGAAGCTTAGAGGCCTCTTAGTACATATCAATTGAATCATATATTGAGAAATTGGATCCAGCTCTATGAGTTTGAAAGAAACCTTGACTGTATCAGTTTGAATAGTGACAATGATGATAATCAATTCTGATACATAAAGAAATAGTTAACCACTAAACAAGATTTATACATTAAATCAAAGCACATGCTATTGATGACCAGATGGAAACTAACAAAACGTATAGCTGACGAAAGGTGGACTCCGAATACTATTTCCTCCACTTTACAAGGACGAACAACCTACAGTTACTCCATCGGTTCGGAACAGAGTTGGCTGCATATTCCTGGTTGATGGTCTGTGGGCCAAGGAAACATCATTGAGTCCTACTAAAATCATCCGGCAGTTAGGCCACTGAATGTCGAGCAGTTCATCGATCCCCGACCAACACGCATCGGTTAACTGTACGACATGGACTCGCCCATGTGGTGATGGCCGCACTCTATTCCTTCTACCCACCTTTTTATTACATCTCCGTAATAATGTCCTTTCTGTTATACGGTTGTAAGGACCTACTTTTATCAAGAGAACGCGATTGGTTTGATGAAAACATTTATTATTATAACCAATTGTATCGGTGATTGTTGTACTCTACTTGTTTGTTTAGCTGCACCAAAATACATACATTCCTCCGTTGATTGTGACCTTGCACGACTTCGGTTACGCTCAGTAACCACACTTGTAACCTGACAAGATCTCAGTATTCTTTCGACACGACTAAATCTCCAACAAATACATCTCGACTACAGCCATCAACTGCCTTCTGATATTTGGCCTACGGGGGGTCTTATCGGTTAATTGGCACGTAGTCTTCCTGTAGTGGTGATCATAGTCAATCGAGACTCGACACCACGCAACAACTGGTGAGCCAAATCTAGGAACACGTCTCAACCTCTGGAAAATTTCTCAAAGAATACTACTACGGTGAGTCTTTTATCTATCTATCCACTTTTTTTACACATTTCCGTATTGACATTTTTCATTATAAAATCCGGGCAACAACTGATATAGTATATATCGATAAGTGTGGCATTAATACAATAGACACCGATGTACGCGTGCCGAATCTTAGACGTATTTCATTCACGTGACGATATACTCCACGCTTTATTCGAGAAACTTCCCTAATTAACTATTCTCCACACTGACCCGGCTGCTTGGTATGGAACGCATACGCACAACCAACACCACCCAGCATCAAATGGTTTAGTTGAACGGTTTCATCGCCGACTTAGAAGTGCTATTCGAGCACACGAAAACAACAATTGGTACGAAAGATTACCGCTCGTCCTCTTAGGTATCGGAACGAGTTTGAAGGCAGATTTTCAATGTTCCACCGCTGAGCTTGCATACGGCACGAAATTGCGTCTGCCTGGAGAGTCTTTCACACCACAGGGCAGTAACGATTTCAGTAAATCAGACCACGTCCAACGATCGTCTGAATTTTTGTGAACACTGAATCCGGTGTCACCTTGAGCACAGCATCGACAGGTCAGCATTAATCGTCTCGGACCCGCACACGTCGATGACAGTGCCCTGCCTGATAACTTGAGACCCAGTGCTAGACCCATCAGGCATACTAACGGGAACTCTACATCTACTGCAGAACCCACTCTCGATTAATCAGGGGCCTCATTCTCACGTCTCAGTCAACAGTGCGTGTCACCTGCACCACCTGCGGACGACACTTCAGTTTCACGTCCAGGTCAGCGGACCACGCTACCCTTGATTTCGGATGAGATTGCAGGCTCACGAAGTACGAACGAGACTACCATCTCACGTTCCAGTCGCCGAGTACGCCTACCCGTACGCTTTCGCAACTAACCGCCCAATCGAAAACGGATGAAGTGTGAGACTATTCCAATACTACATGCATGTTACACTTTTTCTCTTTTCTTTTGATTTTTTTGTACCCTGAGACCACTCCGCCGACCATCGCCTGTTTGCTACTGTCGACTTCAGTCAACTTTGGCGAAAGCTGGCCTGACCATCCACGTTCTTGTCAACACACTCAGTCGATATTCTGGTTTCGAATCTGTCTGGCATATGTTTGGTCTCGCGATTGGTTGTTATGGTTGCTTTTGGTTCCCTGGCTCAATTGTGGTTCCATCCTACGTCTGCAGCGTTTTCTGATCCGCACCGCTACGAACGCAATTCTCAGATCGTGGATACAAACCACTCTGGTGTGGTACGCTTATTCGAGCAGCAAGTACAGCACAATTCTCCCGATACCGTTCCACGTAAAAGACCTTCGGTGACAACTTGAGAATCAACGATCTCTGTCACGTTCAAGTTTTGCTCGTTCTATTCGCAATTCACGAACCCAAATTAAGAATAGAACCAAATTCCAATTTATGTACCAAAGTTTATTCGCGATTTACAAATAGTCGACCCAAATGTCGTTCTATCAACAATAATTATAATAATTACAAAAAAACCTTCAATTTTGTACGTTCCCGGGACAAAAACTCCCAAATACCAAACCAATGACAAAGAGAAACCAAAATGTTTGAAAAGAGTGATATAAACAAACAAGTTCAAAGGTTAAGTAAAACAAATACACCCGAGAACACAGTAAAATTGTTAATATACAATAAGAAGGTTTAATCAAACAAATGTCTACAGCTCTCTCGTAACAATCGCCCCCTGCTCTGCCAACCCTCTCGTCCTACAGTCGCACGTTTGCCGATCAGTCCCACGAACTAGACCGCTACGTATCGAAAGTGCAAGCCCTTTCTAGCGGGGGCTTCTGTAGTGACCTACTTTTATCAAGAGAACGCGATTAGTTTGATGGGAACATTTATTATTACAACCAACTGTACCACTGATTGTCTTACTATACTTGTTTGTTTAACTGTACTAAAGACATTCTTCCTTCCGCCAATTGTGACCCTGCACGTGCTTACGTTTGCTCGATGACTCCTCTTGTACTCTTTTGGCACGATCTCGGTATTCTTTCGATACCACGAGATTGTCAACAAATATGTCTCACTACAATCTCCACTCGCCTTCTGATATCGGGTACGCAACCTTCTTGTGATGGTGATCATAGTCAACCGTGATTGGACGCCACACTACACGGTGTTCAAAGCAGCCATAGTACATTGATATGACGAAGAGGCAGTCAAGGTTAGGTACTGACCGCGAGGTGTGATTTCGAAGTTAGTTGTTGGTCATACCATTCTCATCTAGCTCGAATGTGTTCTCAATCATTCAACAAAGGTCATCTGCCTCAGTGATCTACAGGTCTCTTCTCTAAGAAGTGTAAACGGCTCAAGTAATTTAGTGAGCAAGTAATTACCTCATCCTCAAATAAATATGTGGTCCCCTCTCTATTATAATGAGGACGTGAACTTATTTTGACTTTCGTAAAGATCAGTAGTTCTGACAGCATTTGGGATTGCATATATTCCTTTGTACTATGTGGCCTTATTAATCATAGTTCCTCATTATTTGTCATTTTTGTGTGTCTATTGTCAACTATTTAATTGCTCATTTCTAGTGTATTCGTTTCTTGATGATATAAAAAATGACTTACATTTTCATCACTGATATTGGCTGAAAGGCTAATTCACTCTCTTGGCTTGACTGGGTACATGAACGTTTGAAACAGTTTCCACATTTGACCTATAATTTTCTAAGTTTCACTGTATTGATAGGTAAACGGAGTATGAATGAAATTAAGTAGGGTTTATATTTCGTTCGTCTCCATAAAGTGAGGCCAGGAGCAGTTATAAATCAAGTGTTTAAGACTAAACCTTATGCATTTAAGTAAATGTCAGGACATTAAAGCTCAAGCATTCATTCACCTCCTTATTTTGTGTAAAGATTATAATTCCTATTATTTTGTGTTGAGTGTTGGATAGCTTTGTGTGTTTGAAAAGGTAACCTCGCGCTCTACACTGCCTTGTATTTAAAAATAAATGCTTATCCACTGTGAGCTTGATTTCTTCAATCAGCAGGATGAAGGTTACCCAGAGACTCGAAAGGTTCATTGACTTGTCATAGCAAATAAATCTAAAAATGAATGGTTTCTGAAGCATCCAACAGTAAACTTTTGTCAATCAGAGATCGCTCATTGCTCATAAAATAGTTAGCAGGAAGATAAAGATGATTCAATGGTCGCAAACAATCCGAACTACTGTGATCTTTCCGAAACTTAAAATAGACTCATAGAATTGTAACAGAGAATCCACTATGGACACGTTATCATGGGGTCGCAATTTACTTATCTAATAATAGCTGTTAAAAACTAGAATTACATATGCCTTTTGCCCCTCGTCGGAGAGCATAGGCCGCCCATCAGAATTGTCCATCCACCCCTGTCCTGAGCAATTCTTTGCAGTTGCTATTCACCTTAGTCATGCTTGCTGCCACTTCTCAGCGCAGTGTGTTCTTTGGCCTTCCCCTTTTCCGTTTCCCTTCAGGATTCCAAGTTATAGCTTGCGTCGAGATGCAGTTTGACGATTCGCCAGTACTCGCCATTAAGTCTGCATCAGATCCTCCACGTTCATCAATGATGCTTCCCAGATAAGTGAAACTTTCCAACTTTTCTAGAGTTTGTCCATCAGGTGTGATTGGGTTGGTGTTCCCCGTGTTGTATTTGCGGATGTTGCTTCTTCCTTTGTGTACGTTGAGGCCTACTGGTGCGGAGACTGCTGCTACACTAGTTGTCCTGAATTGCATTTGTTGGTGTGTACGGGAT